TATGCACCAAAGGAAAGCCGAGATGGCCCGTCAAGCCGATGCCTTCATTGCCCTCCCTGGTAACACTTAATTTTAATCACTCATAACATACCAAAAGCACACATACACCTGCTTCTTATTTTTCCACCAACAGGAGGATATGGAACCCTTGAAGAATTACTCGAAGTCATTACATGGGCTCAGCTTGGGATCCACTGCAAACCCGTAAGCTCTACTCCTCAATTTTATTACCTCTTTTCACATTACATTTCTCCTTATTTTTCAATTAATATATACATATATAGTTACAGGTGATAATTAATATGATAGATATGGATTTTAAAATAAGAATTAATCACCAATACATTGTCTGTGTAAAAATTTTTTATATTGACAACAAATCAGATCTTTTAATGGTATTATGTCAGTTGCTTATTTAATGAGATAAAAATAAAATAAAATAATTTAAAAGATTTGATTGGTTGTCAGTATAAAAAAAATTCACACTGGTCGTGTATAAGTGATTAACTCTTAAAATAATATCATATATATGGAATAATAGAAACTTCTACAAGGGAGAGAGGCCCGAAAGATGGGAAAATAAAATATTAACATAATAGAACTCATGAGTTTTGGCATGAAACAAATGATCTTCATTAGCGTGTTGTAACGCTGGATCAAATTCAACCACACACAAACTAATCAAAGTATCAAACACCTTTATTATATATATTGTTGTTTTGCCTTTGGTTATTCGTACAGCATTTGTTTAACAGTGTCGGATTAATGATGTATTATCAGTTATCATGTTACTTAGATACTCGTAATTTGGTAGATTGGCCAAGTTGACTGGGTATGACTCGTTAAATAGAACGCTTCAACAACTTCAAATTGGATCCATCATCCATGTGTCTATATAATTATATAACAACCAGGAAGCTTCAATACATACAGAACCCGAAAAATGTGGGATATTTAATTCGGATTCACATGAGGGAATAGTCTCAGATTTTCCTTAGTTAATCATTGTCACGTTACATTATTTGAAGGTTCTGCGTTTGAATGGGAGTAAATTATGATAATGTATAACCACCTGATATAAATTAAAACAGAAGAAGATTGAAGAACAAAAGCAAAACAAGTAAATTTCTTGGTCAATGAAAATTGCTGGTAACATAGTGTTAATTATGTGTCAATTTTATGAGATGCAGGTGGGCCTGTTAAATGTAGATGGATTTTACAATTCCTTGTTATCTTTCATTGACAAGGCAGTTGATGAAGGTTTTATTTCCCCTACGGCACGTCGCATTATAGTCTCCGCACCCACAGCCAAACAATTGATGCTAGAACTTGAGGTGCGTAAATGTTTCCTCCCATCTTATAAACATAAAATCAGCAACGTTATTATATGCTTCAAGGAAGGGATGATTCCTTTCCTTTGAGCCAAGCAAAATTAAGAAGATGATACGAATACTAGTAGTTAATACAAGTTGCCATTCAAGTTGTTCTTGAATGATATTCGATGTCTTTACTTGTACTTAATTAATTGTGAAATATTTTATGGAAGCAGGAACATGTTCCCGAGCAAGATGAGTTTGCGTCCAAGTTGGTGTGGGAAGAAAGACTGAATTACGTGACTGAATCGGAAGTTGCCATGTGATAGATCCTTTTTGTGGTCGATTCATGATATCCACGGTTTTTGGGTTTTTACATTTATAGCATTTTGGGTACATAGGATAAGATAGGACTCATCCATCATATACGGGCATAGGTACCGTAGAAGTCAACACGTACGGTATTTTTTTTTTTTTTTTGCCAACCTTTTGGGAATGCCCCTAGTATATGGGAAACGAGGGTTGTTCAAAATACGGAAATTCTTAATTGAAATTTATGTTTCCATTGCCTTGGCAATGAAGATCAGAATCATTCACACAGCAACTTCAGTTCTTCAGCTTTTTTTTTTCCCCTTTACTTAAGTCTGAACCAACCATTACTTTTTGATAAATTCTTTAATCACAACTTGGTCAAATTGCCAGTTAAAAAAACTAGAGAATATGCACTTTTAATCAAATGTAACCATCTAACTCCTTCAAGGGGACAAAGGGCTATATATATATACCCCTCAATTATGTTATTCCTTAATTCAAATTTCTGGATTTATTATGTTGATTAATCCATAATCATGGTGTATAATGCACAGCTGTCTACAAGCAATCTTCCGTTATTCTTGGGAGAGATGTACACAATATATTGTATAGCATTGATTCGAATAGATTTTCTTTTTCATAAAAAAAAAATAAAAAGTAGTTTGACACTATATTAGATATCTAAATGTCTGTTAAATTGACTACATAATAAAATTGTATCCAGGTGTTTGAGGTTTTTGTTTCAATAATGATCCAGTGAATACTTTCAAAGAAACAATGACAATTGATGTTAAGAAGGAAAATTATGTTCACATTGAAGAATCTGATACCATTACAAGAGAATTGAAAGAGTGAGATGGGTTAGTTCTGAGGCTAATCGAAAAATGTTTTAGAAGAATTAATAAAGGATTAAACTGATCAAGATTGAAAATAATAATCAGCGGTTATATTTAATTATTTTATTCTTATATTTGGATATGCTTTTTAGTTGTATAACCATTGGACATAATTCTCCATAACCAGGAGTTCATTTGTTATAAGAAGGTATTCTCAAAGCAAATCAAAATGTCCAGACTGTTTATTAGACTACACGAATTTGTAAAAGATTTAGGTACATGTCAATTCTACTTGTACTTCATTTTTTAGATAGTTTATAACTTTTATTCACATTTTTATTTGCCTGGCATTTAAAACGATTTCTATAATACTGGAAATCAGAAGATAAGCTTAATATATGCATGAAGTGAATAATAGCTGACCATAACCAGGTCTCAATAACCAACAGGTCTCAATAACCAACAGTTTAATTGGTTAACTGACCATCATAACAAACTAATTGTTGTTTTTCATGCGTAATCACGTTATGATTTAGTGATACTCTCTCAAGTTGGAGAGTAGATGTTGAACACTCTCAATGTTAAGAGTGAAAGAAAATATTGAGGATCTAATGGCTTGGTTAAAATATCGAGAAGTTGGGAAGTGGTGGAAACAGACAGCAAAAACTTAATTAGCATAAGTTTAAAAAAGTAGAGTCATCAAAGTTTTTAATTGGAAAATGATAGAGAAACCATTTAAAACAACAATAATTTTCAAAATCAAGTTATGAGTTCAAAGTCAATGAGTCAATTACATATATTAACCCTACAACATCCATTACCCTTAATTAATTAAACAAATTTAACTTATAAAAAATTTATCTCACCCAAACACAGACAAGAATTAATCAAGAGAAAAAGTAGATTTACGAGTATTTAATTTTTTCAGTTATTTATTATTTACTTTTGGGCCCAACAAATAAGGGTGGCTTCATGCCCCTATGCATCTCCCGCCACAATTAAAACAAAAACACTCATAATTGCACAATTCTTTTGGTATAGAGTTTTTGTTATTTCTATAAGATTTCAAGATTCTAGTGCTTTCACAACAAAGCTCATAACTCATACGGAGTACGTACTAATAATTGAATTGTCAAAAATGTCACTTGAGTCAATCCTTGAAATAATTTAAATTTTATTCAACTTTAATAGTTTAGAGGGAAGTTTTAAATCATGTGTCACAAAACCTTGAGATTAAAAGGATATCACACGTTGCATCAGCCATCAGCAACATGCCTTGCTCCGGTTTGTATGAATACTGCAACGCTCGAGGATTAAATAGTTATTAGTATGTTAGTTATTTAAAATTAAAGTAATTTTTGCAAGATGTTACCTGGTTTGTAATTATAATAACAGTTTATGAGAATCGACATTTAAGTAGTATTTTGCTATAATTAGTATGAGATTCATTATCTTCTTTTTCTTTGAAGTTAATGACAACAACTTCAACATTAGATATAATGCAGTTCAAAAACTGAGATATAAAAAAATGGAGCTATTGTTTTGTATATCAAATATGGCCTAACATAAATTTAGTCTATTATGTAGTATTGAAAAAGACAGGTTATTGTTTCGAGATCATTTGCAGAGGCAGAGTATAGAGCGCTTGCGGCTATTGTTAGTGAAGTTCTGTGGCTTCAACCTCTTCTCTGACACTTTTGAGATTTTCATTTCTTCTACCATGATTTTCTATGACAAGCAGACAACTATTCATTTGGCTTCAAACCTTGCTCATCAAAAGACATCCAAGCACCATCAACATTGACATCCATTTTATAAGAGAATGAGAGCCTCTTTGGATACAATTTATAAGGACTTATAAAAATTTCTCCACTAAAAATAAAAATAATTTTTGGTTAAAAAAACTCTTAAATACTATTCTAAATCTAATCTGAACATGCTCTGAGTCCAATTCTTAAAATTGAAACTGGATCATGTCAAATCTTCCCATTAGATTGCTTATTTGTTAACTAAGCCATTACCAATAGCTCATTAGTCATTTTCAAACCTTATTTTCCAATTTGGTTATCCTTGATTTGTACTTCTCACCTTGAGGGAGTATTACAACGTAATTAGTCATGTGTTAGTCACTCAATCAAGTTAGTTTTAATAATCCTTAATCAAACTGTATCGTTCCATGTCAAATGATTAATCTCAGGCAAAAAAGGCATGGCATGGGGATATCCTGAGAAACCAAAATTAAGTTAATCGAACAATACAAAAATCATAGACCACTGAAACAAAAGCCTTTTAGTTATGGTTAGTTCTACAAAATCTAAGGGTATCAGATTTATTTTCTCAGTTGAATGCAAGCAATTCTTGAACGGGTTCACTTATCCCATTCCTTGTGTTTCAACTGGCAGTGGTAATAATCTTAGAATCACCCAACTAGTAGTAGAGGAATGAGTATAACAAAGTGTAAGAAATTTTAGTCACAGATTTAAAGACAGCTTAAAGCAATGTAAAACAATATAAAGAATAAGCAGACATTGCAGTTTTGTAATCCAACATTTGAGTGCCGGCAGTTCGTAATTAAGAAAATAAGGCCAGAGCTCCTCTAAAATCTAAGCTCTCCCCCGATTTATTTACCAACAACAACAATAACCTTATCTTGCTAAGGGGAGTCAACTATATAAATCACATGATGTTACTAAAACCAATGAAAAACAAATTCTAAGCAATATTGTTTTCCTGTTTATCTACCAAACCACCTTATTCTTCATCACTGAAATCTCAAATTGGACAAAAGGGAAAAACCAAAATATTCTTGCAAATGATGGAGATACGAACAATTCCAGTCGTAATTTTCCCTATAAGAGTTAGTGTTGTTTAGTGAGTATCAATGACACCAACAAGGTAGTATCCCAAAGACGAAATAGAAATGGGTGATACGGAGGAGAATTATATGAGAAGTTTCGTGTGTAAGTAACCATGACATGTAACAAAGATAGTACAATTACACAGATATTCCCATAGTCATTATTTCTCAACAGTTTCTCACTCACACTAAAATTTTCTTATCTAGGGAATCGGATAGTCAACGACCAACTAAAACAAAAGACTAGAGAGCAGCAAGCCGTGCACGGTACCTTAAAAATTCTCAGGACTGTCATCCAATTGTTTCTCGTCTTCTATCTCAACCTCCAAAATCTCCTGAAACCAAAGCATTAAAAATTCTTAGTCTTGACTGTAAGCTATGGGATACAGCGTGAATTAAAAAAAAATTATAATTATAAGTGGATATATTTGGCTTATAGAAAAAGAAAAGAAGCAAAAAGAGACTTACAGGAATCCTCTGTTTGAGATAATTACCGACTCTGGCAAGAACCATGGAACGCTCGTGCCAAAACCGACCCTTTAAGCTAATTTTAACAAAAGGGCCATCCAAATCAGCTAGTTCAACCACTCCTGAAATTAGATTATGTAACCCCCATTACTGGTATAGTGTTAAAATTACACCTTAAACCACCAAACAACATAAGTACATGACGCTTGCCTAACCTGTGATACCAACGGAAGTGTCGAAGATCTGACCCAGTTCCTGTCGAGCATCGTTCAAAACCTGTCTGACGTTGTTTTCTGTGAGGTCGAGCGGCGGCGGAACGGGAAGAGCCGCTGAGAAAGGTTTGAATGTCCTCCGTGCTTTGCCAGGTGTGGTTGATTGAAGTGGAGAATGGGGGGATGGCAGTTTTGGGAGATGGTAATTGGGGATGCCGCATAGTGATGGGTTGAGTGAGCGTACATTATGGTTGATGATGATGTCAAAGCCACACCACAGGCTCTTCTGGAGTAGGGACATACTCCTTCTTCAATCAGCGCCTCTTCTTTTGCTTGCCTTATAAACCCAACTTTGGAAGATAGATGTTCAATTGCCTGAGTTTCTAAGCAAAGAGTCGCAGGGAATGTCACACTTACACAATAGTGGATATTGAGAATCGGATTTGGATGGATGGATAGACAAGTACACACTCACCAATTACCACCCAATGCTCCCCAAATTAAAATTAAATATACATCCTAAAAACTCAAAAGTATAACATGTTTTTCAACTAAAATAACACATGTATTCTTTTTAATAAACAGATATGATTCACATATAACGTTATTGCTAAAGTATATGTTCAATTCTCATGTTCTTACATTTTTTTTTTTTTATTAATGAGACTGTACTTCATCGAATATCTAAATAATTTCATTTAAAAGCTTAACATATATTAAATAAATAAACGTCTTCCTTCTTTTTGATTTTGTTAGATTCACAAAAGTTAGGATTTAATTATTAAATAACATATTTTCATATTTGGTTAATTGGCTTAAATATTTTTTAATTTCTCAAATAAAAAATAAATATTTTTATTCATCAAATTTAAAACTACTTTTTAGTCATATAACTTTTAAAAATCTCTCAAATCACTAATAACACATCTAAAAATAATAAATTGAGATAATTATGTAACATCAATTAATAATTTAATGTTATATTTTCATTAACAAAAATACTAATAGGTAAGTTTTGTGTAATAATATTTGACTTTTTTTAAATAAAAAAAATATAATAACTAAAACAATTTTTTAAAAATTATAAGAATTAAAAAGTCAAATTTAAATTTATTGAAATAAAAACAAACTTACCCTAAACTTTATAAACTAAGATTATATTTAAACCTAAAATCAATTATGTTCTCCCATCCCAAGTATTAATACATTACTCATTTTAAAATCATGGAAAGACAGTAAGCATTTATAATCATTAACCAAACCCTGTCACCAATAGTTAATTTTAAAAAATTCCCATTGCATAAAACAAAATCCTTTTACACCATTACTCGATACAAATGAGCAATTGCTACTCTTAACTATTATCCTCCCTACACCGCAGCAAAGTACTCCTTGCTAAGTTTAGGGTCCGGCTTCATAGACTTCTCACCAGGCTTCCATCCAGCAGGGCAAACTTCATCTGGGTTCTCCTGCACGTACTGCAAGGCCTGAAAAACCAATGCACCTTAATGGAGGCAAAGAATTTATATAAATTATACAAGGGTAAAAAAAATATACAAAAAGTTGGGAGATATACTAAAAAGTGTTCAATCCTGGTGTTGTCCTAATTAGAAGTATAATTACCTGGAGTGTTCTCTTTGTCTCATCAACACTTCTACCAATTGCCAGGTTGTTAATGGTAGAATGCTGAATAACCCCATCCTTGTCAATAATAAACAATCCTCTCAACGCAATCCCCTAAATCATTGGAAACATTTGGAACTGGTGTGACAAGTGCCCAAAAAAGACGAATGAAAAGCAATACTTTCACAGCAATAATTTCACTACTTGACACAAAATGCTAAAGGTATTACCTAGACAGCATCCTACATTTCATATCCAAAGAACACATTGAAACTAAAGCGCAAAATACATTGGGGTTGATAGGAAAGGAAAATGAATAACCATAGTTTGGGCCACGATTCAAAATACCTGATCAGGAATAAGAACACCATAAGATTTCGAGATGGATTTGGTGATATTAGAAATCAAAGGATACTTCAAGTCGCCAAGACCACCTGACTTTCTATCAGTTTGAACCCATGCAAGATGCGAAAACTACAATGATAACAATAACACCACTAATCAAAATCAAACCTTAGAAGTGCAATTTAAAGGGATACAAACACAAAAACCAAAGCCTTATCCCCTATTATTGCAGTCAGTTACATGGACTAAACAATGCCATATAAAAAACAGTACGAGGAAAAAATTATATAAGAGACAGTAGTTGATGAGGTAATTGAAAAGAAGGATCAAAACAAACTCACCACACTGTCAACTGAAACACCCAATATCTCTGCATCTAGTTCCTCAAACTCTGCATGCCGGTCGCTGAAAGCAATGATTTCTGTCCAAGAATAATATTAGGGTTAAAAAGGAAAATTTAACGTCCCCAACAATCTCAATCAGACCATAGTTTAAACTAACCTGTCGGACAAACAAATGTGAAGTCCAAAGGGTAGAAAAAGAGGACAACATATTTTTTCCCAATATATTCGGATAGTTTGACCTGAAAAGACAATTTTTCAGTCAAAATAATTGGTCAAAACAAAAATTTCGAAACGCCATTGTATAATAAATTAAATACCTTGATAAACTCCTGATCGAAAACAGCCTCTGCTTCAAAATCCGGTGCTGTGTTCCCAAATTCTTAGTCGCAACTAATATATACTTATAGCACCCACACGGGAAAAAATTATTTTCTTTTTCTTTGTTGAAAAATTAAATGTTAACTCGTTCATTAACCAGAACACAGCGAATGAACATTATTATTATTATTATTATTATTATTATTATTATTATTATTATTATTATATGTATCATATAGTATCTAATTTCTACTTTTGAGGGTAATTTGGTTTTAGGTCAAATATCTCGAGTTATGTAATTTTGTCCATTTAGAGATTCCATCAAAACATTTAATTATGCTATTTAAAATATTAATAGTTTTAAATTTTGTGCCTTTATTAAATAAAATGGGATCGAACAATAATAAAGTAGTACTATTTCAAACATTTTAATAAAGCAGAATACATTTCAATTAATTTTATTCAATAAGTTTCCTAATATTTTTTTACAGCCAAAGCCAATCGACCAGAAAGATTCATCAGCAAATAACAATAACACCGGAGAGCTGAGTCGCATTGGTTCAACTCGGGGTTTGTTACCCATTGTGGATTAATTTTAAAAATATATTATAAGAATGGAACTATTTTAAATAAATTATCTCTTTAGAGTTCTTAACAGGTGGTATTGATATAGATCATAGTAATACTCGTAATATGTGTAAATATTTTTGTCTTAAATTTATTTTCACTAAATATAACGTTAGAGTTTTATGTAATGCTATTTAAAAATTGTTAGAATCAATAGTGACACCAATTAGACGGTTATTGACTCCAATAACTTTTAAATCGACATTACGAATAATGAAATCATACAAAAAAAAAATCTCATTATAATATATAGTAACTTACTTTTTATTTTTATATTATTATAGACATAATGATATGGGTTTTAAAAATTTAAATATTAGTATCTTTATTTTTAAAATATTTGTTATATTTCTTTATTGAGTTTTTTTAAAATTACAATTGGCTAATTTAAAAAATTCTGTAATTTTTTAAGAAAATCTGTTATATTTTAAAAATTAAAATGATATTTTTTTTAAAACATGTAAATTTTTTTTTAATTTTTAAAATAAATTATTTATTTATAATTTTTTAAATAAATAGAAAATTTGGTTGTTATCTAAAATAATATATAAAAGAGATATTTTTTTCCACGTCATTATACCCCTATTTTATATTCTAATTTCTAATCGAGGTAAAATAAAAAAAAGGTATGCATTAAAAAAAACTGCTTATTTATTTATTTTTACTGAAAAAAAAAACTGTCAACCCACTTAAAAATAAGGTTAAAACCCTATTTTGGTCCCTTATAATCTTTTTACTTTCTATCTTTCCGTCCATTCTCTTTGATCTTTCCCTCCATTCTTTTCTTTACTTTCTCACGCTCTCATCTAAAGTCTCTAGCTTCTCATTTTCTTTGCAAGACTATTGTATCAAGGTAACATCCTCATTCTCTTCTCATGTGTCTAGTTTCGTTGTTGTTGCATTCTGGGTAAATTTTGAATCTGGAACGAGCTGTTCTGCAAAAAGAACGGGGTGTTCTACAATCAGAATGACATATTCCAAACTACAGTTTTAGGCCTTTTTAGAAATCTGGAACGACTTATTCCAGTTTAGGAACGGTCCGTTCCAAGTTGGACACCTTTATAATTTCTTTTTTGACTCACCATTGCTTTATATATACAAATTAGATACCCAACTTAGAAAATTAGACATCTTGTATATATGTGTTATATATTTGTGTTTTATTAATAATTAATGTCTCAGTAATTCAGTGTTTAAAAAAATTAGGTGCTTTATTTGATTTTTATAAATTAATATAATGTTAAATTTATGCATGCATTGAATGAACCTTAGTTTCTCATTTAAAATTTAATACAAATGATTAAAATAGTGAAATTAACATTTATATATGGTCTATTTTTTTTTATGAAGAACAGAAGTTATGGATAAAAAAGTTGGTTATTGAATCGAAGTTGGATACATGCATCACGTATAAGTGATCAGTATGAGACTGTAGTAGAATATTTTATTGAATATATAATACGAAATGCTATAATGATGATATGAATGGAAGATTTTTTATTCTTGTGTTAATTGTTGTAATGCGACTTGCCTAGAACTTGATGTTATAAGAGAACATCTTTTGTGTGATAGATTTCTTAAGAATTATACACGTTGGATATGACATGGTTAAAATGTTGACATTCAAAGTGTATCAGTCGAAACTCAAACTCAAACTTCTACACAAGAGATAGATATGGATGATCGGTTAGAGGAGATGCTTCGTGAAGGGGGTCCAGAATCATTCAAGCGTGCACATATGTATGAAACTCTGTGCAACGATTTGGAGAAGCCATTGTATCCAAACTGTACAAAATTCACAAGACTTTCAACAATATTAAGATTGTTCAATTTGAAGGCAAGAAATGGATGAAGTGATAAAAGCTTCACAGAATTGTTAGAGCTACTAAAAGAAAGGCTTTCAAAGGGTAACACATTGCCTAATCGTAACTACGAGGCAAAAAAGGTGTTGTGTCCTATATAGGTTTGGAGTATAAGAAGATACATGTGTACCCAGATGACTGTATGTTATATCATGGTGAGCTTCACAAAAAACGTTGCATCAATGTCCAAGATGTGGATTGTCACGATATAGAAAGAAACAAGATGATTCTGATTATGATGTGAGCACTAAGGGTCCTCCAGCGAACTAATCACTTAATTTTCATTTAATTATCATTATCGACATTTTGTATTCTTACACACTATATTTGTCTTGTGGCCAACCCTAATTGGCAAGTTTGGTTAGCATTTTTCCTACGGTTAAGGATGTATATTGATTTAAGAATGCATTTATAAGTAACTTGATACTTAAAAGATACATCTATACAATGAAAAGTATATTTGATCTAATAAATGACACTAATGAATACGTTTCTTAACAAAGAGTTGTGATCAACAAAATAAGGAAATATTTTGTACATAACAATGACAAAAAAATATTATTTCATAATTTAATTAATTTAACTAAAATCTTCACTAATAATGGGTGACTTTATTTGAAATTAAAAAAAAAAGTGTTTCAGAAAAAGAGTAATTGTTTTTTAAATAGCAAATAGAATTTGCTTTTTAAAAAAACATAAAACTGTTTTTTCTTTAAAAACATTTTAGATTAACACATAAAATATAGAAAATTGTTTATTTATTATTTTTTTTTTAATTTTTTAAGCAAACAAGTCCAGTATATCTATCACATAACATTTTGTTTTGTGCGTGTCCTTCCCATTGCGAAGCCAGAATAAGAATTCACATAATAGGGATTTTTGGCGAGGTTGAAAAGCAATTTAGAAGAACAAATCATTCTAGCAATGTTGAGATTATCCTTATCTTCTAAATTAAATGTTTTCTCCAAAGTACCAACTTTTTCCTTTTTCAATAAAGAACTCTGACGAATTTGCTTTGCTGGCAATAAGACATGCTTAAGTTTCACTATATTTTTAACCAATTTTCAACAAATGATTTCAATTCAACAAAATATTGATCATTTACACTTTATTAATTTAGGACTAAATTGAAACCAATTAACTAAATTGGGACCAAATTGAGACCAAAAATTAATGAGAGACTAAATTGAAACAAAAAAAGATTATAAGGGATCAAAATAGGGTTTTAACCTAAAAATAACTATCTATTTTTATTTTTTTAAGGAAGCATAGAGTGCCTTTTTTACTAGTTTTTAAATAAATTTGTTATAAATTTATAATTAAAAAAGAAACTGAAAAAAGGTCTCTAGATGTCATAGATATATTTGATTTTTTAAAAATCTTAAGGTATATTTTTTAAGCAAATATTTTATTTTTAGTTTTTTAATTAATTATGTTTATAAATCATCAGGATAATTGCAATAATGATTGATAGTTTGTAATTTGTTTTATTAAATTTTTTGGTGCACATTGAATCGCGTGTTGTTTCTTTCACTGGTCCAAGTTTGTTTTTCCACCGCGTGTTTCTCGCTACTAGTCCACCACGAGTGACAACATGTCAGAGTCCACCACCCACGTGCCGCCAGAGACGCCGCCCCTCCGCCGCCGTAACTCCATCACCGCTCAATCGGCGAACAAACTCTACCTCCCCGCAACGCCACCACTGCGCACGACGAGCCTGGAGCTGGTCTCCTTGAAACCCCCTTCCTCCGCCTCCTACACGTCCCTCAGAGACATCCTCCCTCCGCCCAACGCCGCCGTCTACTCCCCCACCGCCTCCGCCTACTCCGGCCAAGAGATTTCCATCCGCAACCGCCTCGTCAAGCAGGCAGCCTGGGCCTACCTCCAGCCCATGTCCGCTTCCTCCGGCGACTCCTCCACCCCCCACTTCCTCCGCCGCCTCTCCGCCGCCTTCCTCGGCTTCCTCTGCCACCACCTCGTTCCCGTTGTTACCCAATTTTTCCGTCGATTGTTCCACGCGCTCAGGCTCCACGTGTGCACGCGATGCTATTCTTGACAATCCACAACTATATTTATAATAATAGTCCCTGCAAGTCCTTCACTTTGTGTTCGATATGCTATGCTGTTCCTTAGTATGCTATGTACCTCGTATTTTTTTTTTTTTTTTTTTATACCTTTGCGTTTGCCTCTTAATTGTTGTGGCCTCAAGCTCAAAGTAGGAATGAATGAATAAATGAATGAATAATCGATTAAAGTGTTTCAAAAGTAAGGGGGACAAAAAACAAAGCATTCTTTATATTACAAGAAGAATAAGACTAATGGGGTTGACGTAAGAATGTACAAGAATGTTATGCTACACTTCTGTAGTGAAATTTGCTTTATTTAAAGCGCCTCGTGGTCTGGTTCCGGTTCCCATCAGTTCCACTTCTTGTTCTTGCGGCCTGGGAATTCGTTTTCGTTATCAAATAAAGAGGCTCGAAGTGAAGACAATGGTGGGGCACTTGGAGTTGGACCAAGCTCGTCTTTTTTCTGCAATGTAACACCATCTTTCAGTAACAATACTACTGCTAGCTGTAGAGATATATGTAATTTACTAAATGGAGAACAATTTTGTTGCACTTGTGAATTTGTCGTCAATCAATGCATCATTGCTGTCTATTCGGAGTGATTAATTTTTGTTCACTATTTATTGGTGCTAGGTGATTAGAGAGTTCCATGCCACGTATTTTGGAAACTATAACAGTAGCCTTGAGCATCGCAACTTAGTTTATTAACATCGATGTAATAGTCAATATAAGAATGGTTCTGAAGTTAGGATGTTACTATGGAAAAGGGAAATTCACCTTACTAAAGGATTTGCTAGAAAATTTTTTGGACTGTGCAGCCAAGTAGTCGAAAACCTGGAATGTTGCATTTTGCCCCAACTCTGTGCAGTTTTGCCAGTAAAAGATGGCTAAATCCCATGCCCTGGCTCGCCACTCTCGGAACTTTTTCTCAATGTCATTTTCATGGCTTGACACATAAGGCCGCAACACAGCATTATAAACATATCCCGTCCCCTGCATTAAGCAACATTTCGAATATCATCCAATTGGAAATCAAACATGTCTTTCACCTTTCTTGGAGAACAAGTTCCAAATTGAAGGCTAAAAACAAATAAAATCAAATATAGCAAGTAAGAAGACCACGAGTCCAAACTTGAAGAAAGTTTGAACATAAAGGTGGCTCAAACAAAATCCTTCTCACTCACTCTTTCACACTTCTTGAAACATGACTCACACGCAAATTCTAGTAACCTTTCCAAACTCATGAACCAAGACTTACACGCAAATCCTAATAATCTCCTAGTAAACTAAAAGAAATTGAAAGCAACAAAAGAGTGTTAAAAAGAGCAAAAGAGGATGAGTGCAAGCTTTTATGTATTCTTACCTTAGTCTTGGGATACCACAAGTAGATAAAGAGTGCAAGCTTCAACTCTCCGTACATGGGCAGCCTAAATAAACGTTCCGCGTTAATTTATTGGACCAATCAAAATCAATCACACACAAAATCTAAATCAATTTCAGCGATATACAAATGGTTAAAATTAAGAACAAGCACTCACCATCCAATAACTACATCCGCGAAATTCTCCACTACTGTGAAAAGTGCTACAATGATCCTGCAATATATGACGCACAAAAACATGATTCAGAGGCACTACCACATAATCGAACAATAATATAATATTTTAACATAAAATTTGACAAGGTATCACTCGAAAAGATATCTACCCCCCCAACTTCCCTATGAATTTTCCAAAAGCTCAAGTTCAGCATAAATAAGCGGTAATATATCATCCTCACCCTACATTTTTTTTCCCTTTGAATTCCACTTTGTGTAATTCATAACTCCATTTGTAATAAAAGGGGCATCCATTAAACTTTCTGATGGGATAAATACATACACCGAACACAGTATCATACTATCTATACTACAGGTACTTGGCTTAAAATATTACTCATGTTCATAAAGATGCACATGGTTCTTTTCTCTGTTTGCTCCACCTTTCAAGGTATTGACCTTCCTTTGCATATTCCTAAAGAAGATCCCTTGCTTGGAAAAAACTCCAGCACTTATTTTTTAATTCCTAATCCTTATTAAGATCTATGCTCATTTCTTCTCCATCACTCCACATCTTCAAAATTAAAATGTAATCATTATGACCGAAATTATAATTTTAATAATCATACAATCCAAAGCCAAATAGGAGACCAGAAGATGGATTCTCATACCAGTATTGACACCAGAAGCGAAGTTCCTCGTTGTCACCCCTGTTTTTCTCCACAGTTTTGTAGCATTCAAATCCGGGATACGCATACCCCAGAAGAAGTCTGAAATCCAAGATGATATAAGAACGTTGAACAGCATAATAAATCGAAGATGAAGAGAAGGATCATAAAAGCTTAAACTTACATAAGACATCGAGTGATGAAATCCCCCAACATTTCTGATCCCTAGTGAAACTCTGAAACCAAATCAAGCAACACATGAGAATTCTGAACCGTTAAAAGCTTTGGTTGTGTGTTGGGGCATTAACAGTTGCGTGACACAATGTCTTTCTTTTTCTTTAAGAAAATAAAAAACACGGGAAAAATCGTTCGGCATTTACCTGTTGTTTTATGAGAATCCAAAATAAACCTGCGCCTGGGTTGAGTCCCACGTTTGACAGAGTCAGAGACAGCAGATACTTCAAACCGCTTTTGCTTCGGAATTGTGGTGTCCGTAACCGCTAAGGAAAATGAACTAGTCGAGGCTTATAAAGCTGGAAAATGGATGATGGGGTTTAATGCTCTAGAAGAAAGAATGACCCTGTTTCTCTATGAAGAACAAAATAATGAACAAGCCTTACGAACCAATATATATATATAGATATAGGAAAAAGGAACGAAGTCATACAAAGGAACTATCTCAGAAATATTCAAAAATAAAAATAATCAGAAGAGTAAAAGAAAAATTAAACGGGATTTCTTCTCATTTACGCAACTCGCGAGGATTCTACTAAAAGTAAAAGGATTCACCGTTTGGCAGTTAAGCACGCACCTGTATGTCGCCTTTTACATCATTTAGAGCGCATTATAAAATGGATTTAATTTTCTTGCGTAGTTAGTCAAAACATTTTTACAATATTACCAAATTAAAAGTATTTCTAAATATAACTTTTAAAGTATAAGTCAACAAACTTATTAAAATTATGATTTGTGTATAGGTATTTCCTTCGTTGATTAGGTCAATCAAGAGTAAATGTATGTTTGCATTTTATGTACTAAAGAAAAATACTTCCAATCGTCTTAGATTCTTTTAAACATATTAAAAAATAATAAATAAAATTTTGCAAAATTAATCTTAGGATTAATTTTCTTTATCAAAAATATGTACCACAAGAACCTTTTTATATAATATTATTAGAGATATAGATGAAAAATAGATAATTAATATTATATTGAAAAGAAAATAGAATAACACTTTTTTTTTTTTTTAAATCTTTCAATGCGACATTTATTACGGAATGAAAGAGGTATATACTTTCTTCATCTTATAATAAACTAGTATGAAATCTGTGTCATCGACTGTTTTTGCATATTTTTATAACAAATTAATAAATGTTGTCCTTAATTATTTTACATAAAAATTTAGAAAGTTTAGTAAATAAATATAAGAAAATAATAATTTTATGAATTAATCTTATGATTAAAATTTTTATAAATAATGTAATACATTAACTACTTTTTAAGTAATATTATCATAGATATAAATAGAAAAAGAGATAATTAATATCATATTAAAAAATTAATGTGACATCTATTTAAAATTTATTTTTTAAAAATTTGAAAAAATAAATAAATTCGAAGATAGTGAAATAAAGAAAAATAGAACTATATAGATTAGTTAGTGTTTGGTTGAAGATAATCTAGTGGGTAATGACCATGAATGATGGTTGTTGACCGAACTGCATGATATTGAATAACAAAACTGTTCACTAGTTCTTATCCTTGCATGTTCGTCATCACTCACCGCTGATGCAATTAAGACTCTTTGTAATGGTAAGATGCAGCAAACGAATTGCAGACAGGTTTGTGAGTTATTTTATGATGTGAAGTAGTGGTTTGACCGGTTGAAGGAGTTAAGTTCCTCCAACTATTCTCATGGAAATATATAAAGTGCACCAATATATGACCGTTGAGGTAAAGTTTTTATTTATTTATTATTTTTGTGATTAATTAATTTAATAGCATCAGCTTTGGACCGTCTCGGTCGTAGGCCGATTGGTATCACCGACTATAAGGACTACACCTTAAGCCTTTTCAAGGCTGGAGGGCAAGTGGACCGTCTCGGCTGTATGCCGATTGATATTATCGACTCGGCCGTAGGCCGATTGGTATTGCGAACTATAAGGGCTATTATGCATGTGAGGTCGACTATAAACCCGTACACTGCCCAGGCCGATTCACGACCTGATCTCCCCTCATTTGATCACCCGACTGTAACCTTGGCCGACTCACCCTCTTAGAGTCAATCGACATATAACCAATTTGGGCCACGTCAACCAGATACTGATCTCACTCACCCATAAAGGCCTACTCGGTCATTATCCGATTGGACACTCAGCAATGGAGAAGTTTCACCTTCACTCACCAAGTATTTCCAAATTGGAACGGCTAAAGAGATCCTTACATTCCCGGGGCCCGTAAGGCCCACGGACAGGAAACTATAAGACCCAAAACCCTAGAATTGAGACGGCAGATTACACTTTTGAATGCTCTGACTTTGAGGCTTGACCTAGGAAAAAACCCTAGTGCACCTTGTGGCCGGAACAAGCTTAATTGTTTCATGGCCATGATTCACGTCTCATAATACTATTGGTAGACTAAGTTTTTAATGTTTTGTGTTTACTATACATATATAATGTGTTATTATAAAAGTATGCACGTGATTTTATTTTATATTTATTTGTAGACATATTATAGCCATCACTAAAATAATATTAGGTTAAACAAATTATTAATTTGACTCACTAGTTCCTGAATGATTTGTGATTAACTATTAATCACATTATATTTCGGTCGCTTATGTTATAGACTTTGATCATTATAACTATAAAATAAAATAGCCATAGACTAATAGCTTAATTAACGAATCATCTAGGTTGATAAAATTAAGTATATAAACTTTTATGGAAAAAGTATAGTTTACTCGTTTAAAGGTCTTAAATAGTCAAAAACAATAATTTGGCCATAGGTGAATATTGAAAGTTGACCAAATATTGGTTGAACTGTGTAGTCGTAAGAGAGAGAGAGGAGCAGCAGACCCTCTCCTCTTTCTTCTCTTCATGCGTTATTGAAGATTTCTTGACATTTGTAGACACAGAACATAAACATAGTTCTACAAAAAGCTATTCAGGGTGTCCCACCAATTTATGTCATTTATTGTTGCAATTTATTTTTCTATTAAGAGTTTAGGATTCTTAGCAGTTTAGAATTCCTCGCCGCCCTCGTCTCCAATGAATACTGGATCTGATGATGAAATTTCTTTTTAAAAAAATGTTGAAGGTACACCTAATTTTAGCCTGGAAACGTGTAGAGGAAAAAAAATTAAAAAAAAAAGTGAAACATGTATATGAAAAAAGAAATAAAATACAAATTAGATATATGAATGTAATTGGTTTTTCTTTCTCTTAAACTCAGTCTATTAAAAGAAGAAAAAAAATCCTTTATTATGCATCCTATTGCTTTCACACCTTAATCTAGACGAGAAAGCGCGACTTTGCCTTATTTTAATTGCGTTACAAGTAATATGAAAAGAGTTATGTTACATCGTTAATTTATGGTTAAAATAAATTTTTAATCTCTCAAATTAAAGATAAATTTATTTTTGTTCCTCAAATTTAAAATTATTATTTTTAATTTTATAAATTTCAAAAATCTTGTTTTAATTTCTCAAGTCACTAATAATATAAATTGCAAAATATGGAAAGTAGGGATCAGGTGGCTGCTGGAAGAGGTAAGCGATAAGATGTTGGGTTATTGATAGTTTCCTGCTAGGGTGCTGAATTAATATGAATGATAGTTGCTTCTTTAAATATTAGGGGCATAGGGGGAAGGGTGAAAAAGTTGGAGGTAAGGAAGTTGTTATGCTCGGAGGGGGTTGATGTATTTTTCTTACAAGAAACGAAAAAGGAATTAATTGATGACATATTCTGTGCTTCTTTAACTGGTGGAGTGGATTATGATTGGGTTTCTAAACCTGCTGTTGGGTTGTCTGGAGGGTTGTTATCTCTATGGCGGAAAGAAAAATTTATAATGACTGAGTCTTTTTCTGGGGATCATTTTATTGGTGTGAAAGGGTTGTGGGGGGAAAATAATCTTGAGTGCTCTTTTGTAAACATATATGCTCCCTGCGATCTGCAAAGGAAAAAAGAGTTGTGGCGGTGTCTAGTGGAGGTGATGAGGTGTCGTGGAGGTGATTTATGGTGTGTAGGAGGTGATTTTAATGCTGTAAGGGTTGAGGGGGAGAGGAGAGGGGTGAGTTCCTACTGGAGAGAAGATGATATGAAGTGCTTTGATGAATTTATTACTGAGGCTGAGTTGGTGGATTTACCGCTAGTAGGGAGAAAATATACATGGTACAAAACAGATGGAAAGTGTATGAGCAGATTAGACAGATTCTTAGTTTCAAATGCTTGGTTGTCTCATTGGCCACATACAACACAATGGGGCCTTAGTAGAGGTGTGTCAGATCATTGTGCTATCTTGTTGAAAAATGAAGATATCAATTGGGGTCCAAAGCCTTTTAGAGTTAAATGTGGAGGGGAGGGCTGCATTTGTACTAAAGGAGAAACTCAAGCTCTTAAAATGTAGATTGCGTCGGTGGAATCAAGAGACATTTGGTTGTTTAGACAGGAAAAAAATGAGGCTCGGAATATTGTTAACATGCTGGATCTTAAGAGTGAAAATTCTAATCTACAAGAAGTTGAAGTTGTACAAAGAAAGGAATGGAGAGCTCAGTTGTGTGCATCATTGACTCTTAAGGATAATCTGTTGTTTCAAAAGTCGCGTCTTAATTGGTTGCAAGCAGGAGATGCTAACTCAAAATTTTTCCATGCCTGTATCAATCGTAGAAGGTTAAAAAATGAGATTCGAAGCTTGAAGGTGGCCAATGAAAGGTATAATGAGCCTTCGACAATAAAAGAGGCAGTCAAAGGCTTTTTTGAAGGGCACTTCCGTGAGTGTTTGCATCCTAGACCTCGACTTCAAGGTACCAACTTTAAAACATTGTCAGAAGAAGATGCTACAACCTTAATCTTGCCATTTTCTGATGAAGAAGTTAAGATTGAAGTGTGGGATTGTGAAGGATCCAAAAGTCCAGGACCTGGTGGATTTAATTTCACTTTTATCAAGGATTTTTTGGGATGATATTAAAGCTGATTTTTTGGCTTTCTTACATGAGTTTCATGCTAATGGGAAATTAGTTAAAGGCTCCAATAGCTCTTTTGTGGTTCTTGTGCCTAAAACTGATAATCCTCAAAAAGTGGAGGAATACCGACCTATTTTCTTAATTGGATGTATGTATAAGGTGTTAGCGAAAGTACTGGCAAATAGAATGAAGAAAGTCGTTGGAAAAGTTATTTCTGAGAGTCAATCAACATTTTTGAAAGGACGGCTAATTCTTGATAGTGTCTTGATTGCCAACGAAATTCTAGAAGAGGCAAAAAGAAAGAAAAAATAATGCTTGATGTTGAAGGTTGATTTTGAGAAGGCTTATGATTCTGTCAATTGGGAGTTTATTTTGTTTGTTATGGAAAAAATGAGGTTTCCAATTTTGTGGAGGAGGTGGATAGCAGAGTGTTTAGCCA